TTAATATGTTGTTGATATGTATGTTTTTACGTAATTAACAAAAACATGCATTCCGATTCTTTTGTCTAGGTACTGTACTTACACAGTATTTTCATCCGTAATAACATTTAAAAAAAATGCTTACATTCAATAATGAATTTTTTTGCAGGTTATTAATTGGACTCTTTCTTGGTTTCTTGCTTCATTATAAAACTTATCAAAATCAACTTTCTACTGTAAACCAAAAATTGATCAAATAATCAATAAAATAGATCCAAAAAAGAGACAATTTAAAAATAAAACAAATCAACTTATTGGTGATAAAAAATACTCAAAAGAAATCGAAAATCTATGGATGAATTTCAAACAGTTATTTGATAAAAAGATTGGGTTAAATCCCGATTTTTCCTTTAATGAAATGGCCATTGAAATTCGTGAATTACTTGAAGAGGGGAAGGGAATTCCTGCTTCTACATAAAAAACTTCTATCAACAAAAAACCAATCCTAGAAACAATAGAAACAACTCAACACTGGATTGACAAAGAAAAGAAGAAAGAAGTGACGAGTGAAATTGACGAAGATAATAAAAACAACGAAGATATAAATATTAGTAATAATAGTGAAAGTTGAATTTTTGTCAGTATAGGTAATACTTACAAATGGCTTTGGGTTCAAGGATTTTCCTCCCATGCAAGTGCTCTGACAATTCTTTAACTTATATTTTCATAAATATTTATATATCTTTCTATTATTAGTTGAATAAAAATAAAAATAAATTTGTTGTAAATGAATTCCAAGTCATGTGCCTGTTGTATGTGAAATTGAAATTCTGATTGGCTAATTTGAATTTCACACATGTAAATTTGAATTTCACATATGGGGTCTGTACTAGGAAAATCGAGCTTCCAGCTATATATTTTTTTTGTCTTTTTACTCAACAATAATCACTAATAAAGAATTTACAGTTGGTGGAAAAATTGGACCCTGATTGCATAGTAGAAAAATGAGATACAAGGCTTGGAATATTTTCTTTATATATTAAAAACATGTGTAACCAAATTTATAAGGGTTGTTACTAAAAATAGATTTTTTGTCTGGAAGCTTGATTTTCCTAATACAAACCCCATATGTGAATTGCGAATTCACATAATTTCTTTTTCATGTACAACATGCCCACTAATTTATCATTGGCCCAAATTATTAGGAACAATTAATTGTAAGAAATTATGATCTAAAATTAAATTTTACAAATCTTTTTTTTTAATAATGGCAACTCTTGAAGAAATTAGAGAGAGAGAAAAAATTGCACTTAAAGAACACAAAAAAGCTGAGGACAAGTTGAAGGAATTCGAAGATGGGGAAGACAGGCAGTGGTTAGACAAGTTGAGGGGAAAGGCAAGAAGTGGAGAACTTAATGAAGATGATAAGAGACTGGAAAAAAAAAGAGGGGGAGTTGATGAAGAAGGTGGAAGATAGGTTGAAACGAGTAGAGAAATTGCAGGATGAGTTGTTAGGATATGGCAAAGAAAAGGGTAATGAACAAATTGTGTAAAAAAATATACAAAAAATTATTTTTCATTCATTCCATTCCATTTATTTATTTATTTATTGAGATATTAGTGTATTGTTTATAGTTTTAATTTGTATTTTTTCTTTCTGTTCTTTATTTGTTTAACATTAAATTATGTTGCTTGTATAGTGAAATATTAATGATATTTCCTATTTCCATTTCTATTTATTTCAGAAGCCATCCATTTCAAGAGAAAATTTAGTTACTCATCATCAACACCATCAGGAAATTAATTTAGCGTAAACTTGCCGACGTAATATTGTGTAAATCTTACAGTGCCAACGTAAGTTTTACACTTTTTTATTATTAAACTTACAATTGACATGTGTAAAAATTTTTTATATTTTCCAGATGACCATCAAAATTACAGAAACAACTAGCCATTGATGATTCTTTCACATTTTCACATTATTATGAAACTAGAGTGAAAAATAATCTTCTTTCAATTCCTGAACATTCTTTATGGTTTCGGCAAAAAATTCTTAGTACAGAGGAAAAAGATACTGCACATGATGGGTTTGATTTTTCAGATGTTCCAAGTTATGCAGATGCAAAACTTATTCAAGAACAAGAAAGTTTAAGCAAATTAGAAACAGTCTATCAATGTTATCTTATGAAGAAGCTGGATATTTTTGTTTCCAAATACCCAAGCATGCAACTGAAACATGTAGATACTCACCAGAAACCTATTCTTAAGGGACAAAAACCAGATATTACCTTCTATTTGCAAGATCGAGCCATCTCAGATATCAATATTGTTTCTGTTTTAGAGATCAAAGTCACTGAAAAAGAGGATGAATGGGTGAAAACCACATCCCTTGCAGAGTTATGTCAATTTCTAGAAAACTTTTACAATTAAACCTAGATCACAAGGAGGCAACAGGGATTTTGACAACTTGTCATCATATTCAATTCATTAAAGCTGTATTTACTGAAAATAATGATACCTATTTCTATATAACTGGTATCTTTCCACTTAGAAAAGTTGGATCCCATTATCTTGCACACCTTTGTTTATCAACATCAGAACTTCTTGGATTTTCACTTCCAACAATTAAATACCAAGAAAAAATTGGACTTCAGCATAATTTTCTAGAAAATTCTTTATTACTTCTGCAACATTTTCATCAATTACCTATTTCTATATAACTGGTATCTTTCCACTTAGAAAAGTTGGATCCCATTATCTTGCACACCTTTGTTTATCAACATCAGAACTTCTTGGATTTTCACTTCCAACAATTAAATACCAAGAAAAAATATTTGAGGCAACAGAGATACTTGGAACTGGTGCAACAAGTACTGCTTACTTACTTGGAAATGATTATGTCATAAAAGTTTATAAGCCTATTTATGCTGATATTTTCAATTTTGAAAGGGATGTATTGAAAAGTTTGGAAGCAGGTGGTGTGATTAATATTCCTTGTTATGTTAGATGTGGAAAAACATCAAAGACAAGTGCCAACTTTATCTTAATGAGTGGAGTTGGGTCATCTCTTAATGACACAGATATTGATATACGACAGATATTTATACAATTACTTGATGTTATTAAACAATCACATGATCTTGAGATTGTTCATCAAGATATTCATATACACAATATTCTAATAAAAGACAAAAATGTATTACTTATTGATTGGGGATTTGTAGCAAAGTTAGGAAAAGAAACAGCATATCATGGAACTATCACAACAGTTTCAAATCACAATTTAGAAAAGTTAGAAAGTGGAAATATAATGTTCCAATCAAAGAAAAGTGATGACCTACATTCTGTTGTCAGATGTTATTACCTTATTCAAAATCAACAAATACAGAAGGAATTACATGACCTTGATATTTCAAAGTTTGAATCAATTAAGAAGTTCTGGAATACAGAATTGAGTGCACCATACTGGATTGAATGTAATAATGCAGCAGAAAGTGAAGATTATAAAAAGCTAAAGGCATAATTTGAATATATATTGTGAGATCAAAATCCACATCTCACACAAATCTATTGATTTGGTTAAATTAATATTTATTTCATTTTATAGCAGTATCCAATGATGTAACTCTTTGATTACTTTCTTTCTCCTATAGCACTCAAGCTATTTAATTATTTACATGGCAAGTTTCCTTACTTCCCTTCTGGTAACATATTCTCAGCAGTCCTTTGTTATCTG